TAACCGTAGTACCTTGTCTGTCGTTTTTAATGAAACATGCATAAACGAAGGATTGCTGCCTAAATATACAACTATATATATATATATATATATATATATATATATATATATATATATATATATATATGCCTGCTTCGACTTTTAGCCGGAAGTAGAAGTATGTTCGTCGTTTTCTGTTTAGAATCGAATTTCCTTTCCCTTCTAAAGTCTTCTCATATTTTATCGTTGACCCCAGTAACCTTTCATCTTATGGCCATTATCGCCTAGCTTGGGATAAAACTATTAATATTTATATATATATATATATATATATATATATATATATATATATATATATATATATATATATGCGAGACAGGCTAACCTATCATCCTGTCTGCACTCCTTTCATGTTTGTTGAACAAGAGTAGTGGTTCATCCCTTGTTCCCTATTTAGGATATGGTTTACCGATTCGTTTTCTCTTTCTTCCGAGGTCACACTGATTTGTCTTAACTCTTTGGTGATCAAATTAACGAATGGCTGTAACTTCCCATTATGAGGGTAGCGGGTTGGCTGCTGGCTACTGTTTCCGACTGGTCGTTAGAAACCCGAACACTTTGGTAGCGCTTTGGAGAGGCTGCTCTTATCAACAGTCGCATAATATCGAGGTATCTATAGTGACATCTCGGGCATGGGTAGGTGTCCTTACATGTATTTACGGTGGGCAACATTGATACCATATTATGCTCTGCTCTCAGCTACACACTGGCTGGTATTTATTGCCATTAACGACAGATAGTGACAATTATGGTGGGCCTTTTTTTTCTCTCTCTTCAAAACATCTCTAATGAAAATCACAACATAAAGAAATAAAACTGAACCAGCTAACAAAAAACACCCTACCCCCGCTCAATCTTTCTTTCTACAATATCCGTGGGGTATCAATTCCAAATTCAGCATAGAATATTTTCTCCTGGAAATTTCGCCCTCTATGAAGCCAATTTGAATTCTTCCATTGCTACCAATGAATTCTTGGTTCCAGGCTATCTTCCCCCTTGCCGAAAAGATTCCAACATTCACGTGCATGGCCTTGGTGTCTACATCTGGGATAATCTTCCGATGACCATAGAATTGTCTGTCGATGTCGCTGACTACTCCTTCATGTGCTTCGGTTTACTAAACTCTGTCAGCTATCTCTTTTTCCTTTATCGCTCCCCACTCTTCCCAAGACTGCAGTATATTAGACGTAATAGCTGATAGTACAGAAAAGGCATCTTCTCTCCATCCATCTGCGAACATCTTTGTCTTCAGTGACTTTAATGCTCACCATGACACCAAAGAAAATGATTCATTACGCCTTCCCAGGCTAACGTTTTCAGCTGACAGGAAAGAACCGAGTTCGAATTCCATTGTGATCAATTACATTCACTTACGTGCTAATACCATTGGGAAAAGTATGAATCTTCTTCTCCCCATAGCTATGGGTTTAATAGCAGGATATACTAGATTCTATAGTCTTGGGTGGCGTAGCCTATAGTATACAGCTAAAGAAAGAATCGTTCGCATTGGCTCGATGATCCCGATTACGGTCGACCTGGATGGATGATGGATGGTTTACAGGAACTTTCCAAAGATTCTGCATGTTGGGATCGCCTCCTGCAGACTGATAGCATCAAGAAATCACCTTCCTGTCAAATCGGACACGGTGAGATTCGAACTCGGGTCTGATTCCCATCTGAAAGCTTTATTTTTATTTTAACTGTATCGTCCTAGAAATTAAATTTTAATTAATTTCAATTATTACTGGATTGGACAAAAAGTTCATTCGCTCTTTAATTTTCAACCCGTGAGTGGAACTTAGTTACCTTTTCTGAGAGAACGCACCTCATCAAGAGTTAATAAGCTCAAAAACCTCTGTCACGATGACTTGTGACTCCGTGCTAGCACAACCATAGTCGAACAATTCCGTCTACGCAATTCCCCTCAATGTCTGATATGCTTTTTCAGGCACTTTCCAAAGGTACCACACTTTGGTATCACCTCCCCAGACTTTTAAAATTAAGAAATCACCTTCCTGACAAATCAGCCATGGGCAGATCCAAACTCGGGTTTCATAGACGGAAAACAGATGTTCTAACCACTACGTTACGCCCCCAGTGTGATGATATGATATGGCTCCTTGGAAGTGAATTATTGTTCTTGTTTGTAGAGTCGTTTAGGAAAAATCAGAAACTAGGCGAATGTTCTTAGCATGTACTACTAGAAAAGTGATCAGTATCTAAGCGTTTGTCTTCCTCTTTTTTGTTCAAAGCAGTGAAAATGGACAAAAAAAAATCAACGATAAAAAAATGTATTTATTAGAGAACTGAACGAACAAAAAGAGAACCTTCAACATCTCAACCTAAACCAAATAACGAAATCAACGACCGAAAATAATTCTTATCTCTGCTTCCCACACATTGGGATCCCGTCTCCAGATCTTTAATATTAAAAAGCCGCCTTCCTGACGAATCAACTATGGTGAGATTCGAACCCGGGCCTGAATCTCATGTAAAAGATTTATTTTTTATTTTAACTGTATCGTTCTAGAAATTAAATTTTAATTAAATTTCAGTTACTATTGGGCTGGCCAAAAAGTTCATTCGCTTTATTAAGTAGAAAAGAAATTGAACAAACATTCTGGCCTCTCCAATATTATTATTATTATTATTATTATTATTATAGTAAATGATACGGAAACTAACCAGACATACTTAAAATCAGAATGAGACTTTTAATATTATTATGATATAAGGTAACAGTGAGCACTTATCAAGTGAATTTGGCAGAACAGTGACAAAGTATGATAGTATAGATTCAAACATTGCTTAGAGCTAGAAGAGATAGGAAGTTGTGGAGAACCATGATCATCTACGTCCTGACGGGAGGCGACGTATAAATGATGAGAGACGTTTCATTATATTCTTGGAATGGAGGGACAATTCATGAAGATAGGAACGAACACGCTACCAACATTTTTTACACGATGCCTGTGAACTGATTTGACTTGCAAACGCATTACTTTGAATATCTGAAACTCATTATTCGCTAATTTAATATGAATTTAATTAAGAAACAGTGTCTTTTAATTGACTAATTTAAATTTAAATCAATTGAAATCCTTATTAATTTTTCAATAAAATTAGCATGAAACACGGGAGAATTTGGAAAAAAATTGTTTTAACTCATTCAACGATACAACCAGAAAATGTCTCCTAACCCACGACCTTCACCTTGAAAAGATGAATGCCAAATTTTAACATCTTAAGTGCAAAATGATCGTCTGCCGTTTAGACGCTTGCGAAGGTCGATCCGAAAGTAATGCACTTATCCTGTTGTGACCCCAACAACAGAGCCAGTTTCGTGTATAGTATAGGCTAAAGCTTCCTGCAAGTAACTTCTATTTTTATTGATACTAGCTGAGTTGTCGTTTGGCAAAATAATGCACGACATGAAAGTGGGTACAAAGCTGTAGATTGCCAATTAAATCGTTTAAACAGAAAAGAATTTATATCCACTGATGATTGCTTACCGTTTACAAGCAGTTGATACGAACACAACTAAATCGTTTCAGTCGTGGCAAAAGCGAAGTGGGACCAGCCACGTTCCGGATTACTCTGTAGAAATGTCAACCTACAAATTGAAGAGTGCCTATAATTCAAACTTTACATAGTGATTACCATAAAAGATCTGGAGACAATTACAGGATGTATTATGTGTGGGCACAATTTTATCAGCAGAAGATACGAAGATGACACCATGTTCATGGCAGGCAGAAAAAGAAAACTACGGTAACTCTTAAATAATTTTGTAAAGGAAAGCGAGAAGAAAGGACTAGCCATCAATTTTATAATCATTTTACCCCCGAGAAAATCGGAAATACCCTTAGTACGCAAGGGGTTACAGATAGTGAAAGTGAGAAAAAAAGACTGGGTATAGGTGGGGGAGGATAAAAGATGAACGGGTTTCAAGTCAACAGAAGATGGCGATTGACGTTGCATTTAAAATATTGAAAATTGTAGTTATCATTCCACTCTCGGGAAGTGCGAGAAAAGTGGCTGTTACATTTAACTATTTCAACAGTAAAAGGGTGGGACCTAGATGCCAATCTAGTAGCATGCTTAAATTCATGTAGTCAGGGAACGAGGGAAGAAAGCTCGTCAGACCAGTTGCCATGAAAATATTTGTAGAAAACATAGAGAGAAGCCACATCACGTCTGTGAGAAAGTGACTGAAGTCAAGATACCAAGTCAGAATCGATTACATTGCAGATCCCTCTTTAAATTTTATCAAGAACCTTGAGATGAACAGCAGGGACACCAGACCAGATATGGCAATAGTATTCAATGCACGGCCGAATTGGTAGATTTGTAAATGTGCTAGATGAACTCTGACGAGAAAAACCTTTTGGCACGGCACAATAAACCAACTTATACATAAATTTAAATATCTGGGAATTGTTTTAAGAGATGATGGAAAACATGACACCGAAATCCGAAGACACGTTGAAATAGGCTTTACAAGATCTAAACAAAGAATGTTGAAACATTTCGTTAGAAACAAAGAAAAGAGTGTTTTAATATCAATCCTTCTGTATGGCAATAAGTGGTGAACAATTCCCACGCATATAGAGTGAACAATTGAAGCAGCAGATATGTTGTTCTACAGAAGGATACTGAGAATAACATGGAGCATGTAAGCAATGAAGTTTTTATGAGGAAAATGAAAAATGACATTCACAGGATATATTGAAAGCCAGAAAGGTAGAGGGAAACAGCAAGAAACGAAAAGAGCGAACTTGTGTAAATGGGTTTCAGAAAAAAAGACGATAGCAAAAAAGACAATGTTAAGGGCTATGAAGGAGAGGATGATGTGAAGATCCAGCATCGTCCACATCCTTAAGAGGTATAGTACATAGAAGAATTTGTGGTTAAGAACAAATATGAAATCTAGGACAATTCAGGGACTTCAAATGAATTACATTACGTGGATCAGTACTACTAAGAAAAAAGTCATTCCAAAGAAAGAAAGAAAGAACGAAAGAAAGAAAAAAGAAAGAAAGAAAGAAAGAAAGAGAGAGAAAGAAGGAAAAAAAATAACAAAGAAGAAAGAAAGAAAGAAAGAAAGAAAGAAAGAAAGAAAGAAAGAAAGAAGTCATAATAGATAACAAACATAGCGCAGAATATAAAAAGTAAAAACAGAAATGAAATGGTTGGTAAATATAAAATTGGATCACATCAAAGTGAAGAGAAAAATGAACTGATATTCGTGTGAGATAGATAGATAGATAGATAGATAGATAGATAGATAGATAGATAATGAACAGACTAGGATAGATAGATAGATAGATAGATAGATAGATAGATAGATAGATAGATAGATAATGAACAGACTAGGATAGATAGATAGATAATGAACAGACTAGGATAGATAATGAACAGACTAGGATAGATAGATAGATAGATAGATAGATAGATAGATAGATATAGATAGATAGATAGATAGATGTGAAGAAACAGACAGGTAGATAGAGAGAGACTTTGATGACAAATGGTTTGATGGATGATGGTGGGATAAAATTATTAGTGTACACGGAATTGAGAATAATGCATATGGTTTGATTGACGGGTAAGTTTGTGAATAAATTTTCCCCGTCGATCAAACTATTCTTGAAGGCGCATACTCGGGCAATTTTGGGTGCTTTTTTTTTTCAACCCTCAGAGTCCATGTCGTTTTTTATTGCAAATATGCTGAGAGGAACTTAGCTTTTCTGAGAGAGCGCGCCTCACCAACAGTTAATAAACTCAAACCCTCTGTCACGATGAGTTGTGACTCCGTGCTAGCACAACTATAGTCGAACAATTCCATCTACGCAATTCCCCTCAATGCCTGATATGCTTTTTCAGGCACTTTCCAAAGGTACCACACTTTGGGTATCACCTCCCTAGAGCGTTAATATCAAGAAATCACCTTCCTGACAAATCAGCCATGGAGAAACTTAAACTCGGGTTTCATAGCCGGAAATCAGATATTCTAAACACTACACTACGCGCCCCGTGTGATAATCTGATACGACTCCTTGAAAGTGAGGTATTGTTGTAGAGTCGTTTACAAGTCATAGGAAAAATCAGAAACTAGGCGAATGTTCTTAACATGAGCTACGAGAAAAGCGATCAGTATCTAAACGTTTGTCTTCCTCTTTTTTGTTCAAAGCAGAGAAAAATGGACAAAAAATCAACGATGAAAAAATGTATTTATTAGAGAACTGAACGAACAAAAAGAGAACCTTCAACATCTCAACCTAAATCAAATAACGAAATCATTCTTATCTGTTCTTCGTGATATCCACAGAGATTTTTCTGACGTATTTCTAGAACCTTGCTAAACTGTGTAAAAGTGTGAAATGACAGACGGCAGAATTGGCTTATTTTACTGATGCACAACGCTTCAGATACATCGGTGTATGGATCAGAACAAATTTAATATAGCAGATAATAAAAGTGAACATAAAATAAGCTGTACTGGGCATAGTTTTGCAAAACATCGAAAATAGCTGCAAAATCAAAACATTCACTGAAAAAACCCAGACACGTTTTTAAATCGCCTCATCAGATCTAAACTGTCATATGGATGTCATATATAGCAACAAATTCTTACAGAAATATATAAACTATCAACGGCTCGCTCAGATCTTTTTTAAGTCATTTGTGCAAGACGTGTTCGATCCAATTTCTCCACAATACCCTGTCCTATATAGCTCTTAGTAAAGTTCGTTTTTCGCTAACTTTCCTAATCCCTCTTCTGTCAACCTTTTTCACAAGCTCTTTCCTTATTGTGTGCCTCCAGAAATGTCAACTGACTCCATCTGATGTTAATTATAAGAGTTCTTTTTGTTTCCATCATCTCTAAAACTTCATAACTGCTTACATGTTCAGTCCATGGTATTCTCAATACCCTTCCGTAGAACCACGTTTCTAGTGCCTCACGCATCTTCTTCAGCTCTAAGGAAATTGTCCTGCATTCACTGCAGAATTGCATCGACGGAATTGTTCGACTATGGTTGTGTTGGCACGGAGTCACAAGACATCGTGAC